GTCTGCTCTGTAAGTAGAATCTCTGTGTTTGTTTGAATTCTTGTACTTTGACTGTCTGCTCTCCTGATAACTGATGATGGAGGAGAAGACATGAAAAACAAATCAGGCTGAATTCAAGTTCAAAACACCACGAGGACCAACTGCAGGTCTGAAGAGGAATATTTTCTGTATAATCACAGTGCTCATAATTATAATGATCAATTTAAGAGCTGTTTTCATACTGAGGAGGTTAAACTGTCTGGATACATTTATGTCAGTTAGAAACAAAATTTTCTGGAAAGTTTTACATGCTCTGAAATGATAATAAGACGCAGAGTCAAGGAGGCCATTTACGTGCAAAGAGAAAGACCATCGAGGAGGGGGCCTAAGGGTACATCTTTTGCCATGTTACAATGCTGTGATTGCAGCCATTCCCCAACTATCTGTGAATGGTACTCATGGCCATTGATCAGTGGTTAATTGATTAATTATGATTAAGGAACTGAGCTCCCAGCCCATTGTTCCTTCAGTGGGCTGGTTTCAGTCATTATGCAAACGTACTGTTTATAAGATTTGGGGAAACCTGCAGTCAGCTGAGACTGAAGAAGTCACTTGGATGAGTGACGAAACAAAACGCTACGTCCAGATGAACAGAATCAACTTTTGGAGATAAAACACAAAGGTTTGTAAATTACATTAAAAACTACATAGTGTCTGTGTAAGTTTCCTCCACAGTCCAAAGACATGTTTGGTTTACTGGTGATTCTAAACTGCCTAAATCTGTGATGGACTGATGAGCTTACATCTCTCTATATAACAACAGTGATTTTCTCCAGCTGTCCCTCTATCCTAAATCAGATGAATGTTTCATCAGGATGGATTGATTAACCAAATGTATTGAAGCATGTTGCATCAAATAGAAAATGAGCAGATATATCAGAGAGAGACGAGTTTGTGTGTTTGTCAGCTGTTTGTGTGGAGTTGTTCTTTATGTTCACCTCAAATCAACCTGAGTGTCATTTCTCTTTAGTTCTGATCTCACTGCTGAGCTGCACAACAAACCAAGGTCAGTAACCTTCTTCTGTCACAGTTTAAACCTGAGAAATGCTCACTGATATGACCTGATTGGGTTCATGTTTCACAATGGAGCTCTCATATAAAACTGAAAAAAAACCCCAACCATTTAACAGTTTTTCATTTTAATTTTAATTTTAACCCTCACAGCTCGTCTGACTGTGAGTCCCAGCAGCTCTCAGTTCTTTAAAGGAGACTTTGTGTCTCTGAGCTGTGAGGAGGACGACAGCTCTGCTGGATGGACTCTGAGGAGAAACACAAGCAAACAACAGAGGACTCAGTGCAGAGATGGATGGGGAGAAGGTGCTGGTTCTTCATGTAACATCGATGTTTTCCCATTGGACAGTGGAGTTTACTGGTGTGAGTCCAGAGAGGGTCCCATCAGTAACATGGTTAACCTGACAGTCACTGGTAAGCTGAGTGTGTGGAGTTAGTGTTGATGAAGCTGTGTGTAAATGGATGAAATGCTGTAGTTTGTCTCTGTGTTGAGGTGGATCAGTGATCCTGCAGAGTCCTGTCCTCCCTGTGATGGAGGGAGATGACGTCACTCTGCTCTGTAAAACAAAGACCTCCAACCTCACAGCTGCTTTCTATAAAGATGGCTCCCTCATCAGCAATGGGTCTTCAGTTAACATGACCATCCAGCATGTTTCCAGGTCTGATGAAGGCCTCTACAAGTGTGACATCAGCGGTCATGGAGAGTCTCCATCCAGCTGGATCACTGTCACAGGTGACACACTCACCTGTCTGTGTTTCTGCAGCTTTCAACATTCACAATGTGACGACAACTTAATGACTGTGTTTGCTTTATTTTAGGGGAACACACCACCACACCTCCACCTACATCCACATCTTCTCCTACGTCCACGCTTCCTGGTTCCTCTGTCATACCTGTGCTGTCATCTGTTGGATCAGTCTGCTTTTTGATTCTTCTGGTGTTACTGGTTTTGTTTATTAGACAACATGTTCACAGGAAGCCTAAAGGTGAGACTCAGATTTAATGAGTTTGATTTTTCAATAATCTAGTGTTCTGTTCTGTAATCTGTTGTGATTACTCCTTGTTGTTACACATTATAAAACTAAAATATGAAAGAATGAAAGATTATTTTATATTGTTTTTCTCTCTTATCTCACTTTTTATTTACTTAAACAGATCAAGCTGTGAAAGATGAGATCACATACAGTGACATTAGAATAAAACATCATCAACAACAACAATCAATAAAACAAAACAAAGGTAATACTGAGTGCTTTGATTGGTGCTGGCAGTTGGTAGTTGCAAGATTGTGTTTTGCAAGAGAGACATATTCACATTTTCATATTGTGGGGAGATTTGTAAATATATAAGGACATCATAAGAAAGAAAGCTTTAAAAAACCTCAAAAGGTAAATATATTAGCCAGTTATGTTGTTGCATTGATCCATGGTGACACCTTTCAGACTCGTACTATCACTGTAAACATGTTTGTCATCTTATTTATCTATTAAACTGGGATTTCGGGTATTCATAACTAGCATGGTGTTTATTTAATCACTTTCAATAAAAGATAGAAAGAGGCTTTGTGATGTCCATAGTAGAAGAGTGACCATAATTAGATGAGAGGATGGGGTGCTACTTTATCAGCTAATGCTGCCTGTGTTTGGTTAACAAACCACATCCACAGACACAGATGCCGGTAGATTGTGCAAAGTAATGTAATATAGTAAAAGTTTGACATTTTCGTGTAAGTTTAAGGGGTCTGTCTGACTTTAGGACTCAAACCCAAGCGGACATCAGATAAACTGCTATTTTTGTGACATTGTGACATTTTGGCTTCATTTTCCAGCCTCAGGGGTTCATGATTCCTTTGTTCTGTTTTCAGGTGTCAGAAGTCAGAGCTGTTGCTCGAGTAATGAAGCAACAATGAAAGTGTAATATCATTTAATCTGGCACATATGATTAACCTGAGAGAAAGGGTTTTTAAACCTTATTGTGGAAATTTTCAAAGAAGATTTTAAAGTTTTTAAAATATTTTACTGATGACTCTATACGTTTGTCGAGTTAGGAATAAAGTCACACTTCTCTCCTCATCTCTTTAGACAGGAGCTTGATCAACTGATGTATCTGCTGAATGGTCAGATTTGCTTCTAGGTGGATTTTGATGAAACTTTACAGATCATTTTTGATAATATAATAATATTTCAGTTTTTGGAAGGAGATATTAATTTTATCCCATTAGCCGCACAAATTATTCATTAATCATTAATCATTATTTATTTATTATTTACTTTATTTACTTCTGAATTTAAACCAATGGAAGGTTTTAATCTTGATTTGTGTGTTTTTACCTCTGATTAACTAAATTCATAACTTAAAGAGAGGGACTTTATTTCAAACGGTCACACAGTGGTGTGCAGGTTGACAGATGACCCCTTTACTCCTGTAATGGCACTGTGACACATTCAGCTACGTTTCACCATCTACGTTAATTAACTACATTAATTAAGCTCATCTTTGGACAGGTTCATACTTCTCTGTTGTATTGTGACACATATGTAACTTGGCTAAATACATTATCAAGTTTATAAGGATAGTTCGTGTGCTTCTCTCATAGTTTAGTCTAAGGTAACTAGACTGCAATCTTTATGTTGCTTTTTAACTTTACCTAACAGTCGAAGCATCTTTTTCAAAGGAGGCTGCAGTCATACACACATTTCAACACTCAGACATATGAACCTAAAAGGAAAACAAACCATCAACCCTCTGAATAGTAGACACCCCACTCTAAATCCTGAGCCAGTAAATCAACAGTACTTTGGGATCCAAGGTGAGAGCTGGATAGATGCTGTGATGCATCAGGGACCCTTGCAGGAGAAAACAAGAAACAAGAACTATTAGTTGTACTGGTGCACCTCGTGCCCTTCTTACAGGGTGTTAAAGAATTGTTTTTTTTTTCTTTTTGAGTAATTTCAGACTTCTAAATTTAACAGAGAAGAACCAACATGTTCTCACCCCAACTCGTAACCAACGCTATGTGACAAATCGTCGGTATGAGAGGCATGAGAGGCATGAGAGCTGTTTGGGGTTAATCTATATATGTAATTCTATTTTACGTTCTGATCCTGAATCACTTTGGAAAACACTGTGATTGAGTTAACATCATGATTAGGGCTGGAATGGATGGCTGTAGCTAAGGGTGTGTTACCGCTGTGAGTGGCATTCTGTTGGATTCAACTGAGAATCTAGAGCGTCTCATAAGCACACAGAAGGGTAGCTTTCTTTTACCATGCGTGATTTGACACTAAGCTTATCAGAAAAACAAGAGCAGTTTCAACAATCTGTTGACATTACTCAACATCCTGAAATATTTATTGTGCTTTGTTGAAAAACTAAGAGATATTAAAGAGATTATATACAAAGTCTGATACTTCTATCCACCTGTGAAAAATGTAAAGCATTTTAGACTTTACATTTAAGTTTACCTTTGTATGTTAAAATTTTTGCAATTGATGCTTTTTTTATTTATTTTCTTTATCCAAAATTTAATAACTTGATTATCTTTATCAAATGTGAGTCTTAGTCTTTAAAGTTGCAGTTGTGTGTTGATTGTTGTTCTTTGCGTGCTGGACGGTGTGTTTGTGGTTGGTGGTTA